TTATAAGTTAATTTGGGACATTCAAGTAATTTTCTGAAGGGGACTTTGTATGGGAGCTAGGGTCAAATGGGGCCCGATCTTTATGAAATTTGGCAGGGTTATCAAGACTTCTATAAAACTTAGTTATGCCGTATTTTATCGATATATCTGTATATTTAACATAATTATGAGCTCAGAAGCCCTTTTCGGGCGGTTCTGTTCTATGGGGGCTAGGTGAAATAATGGACCGATTTTAACCATTTTCAATAGGCTTCGTCCTTGGGTCAAATAAAACGTCCGTGCCAAATTTCATCCAATTATCTTGAAAATTGCGACCTGTAGCTTGCGCACAAGGTTTACATGGACAGCCAGCCAGACGGACGGACGGACATAGCTTAATCGACTCAGAAAACGATTCTAAGCCGATTGGTATACTTTAAGGTGGGTCTAGGACGAATATTTTTATATGTTACAAACATCAGCACAAATCCAATATACCCTCCCCACTAAAGTGGTGTAGGGTATAAAAACTGGTTTCAAATGTTGAGTGAATACATCAATGAATCATGTGTGAATCCCTTAAAATTGTTATGATTTTTTATTATAAATATATAATCTTTCAACTTGAGAGCTTAAAAAGACAATTTACACGGGCTTTAAAATCTTCTTACGATAACTATTATTCACGAATTCAGCTCAAACTGTTTTGAAAGAAAAGTGTATAGCATTCAAAGTGGCTCTACAATAGATTACCAGTAATATGACAAGTAAACAATTAACATTATAATCAAATTACTGAACATCTGAATAGACAGACGTTCTTGGACTTTTGTTCTACTAACATTTTACCTTGTATTATTGCACCATGACTGGCACTAAATATTTTACATTTATTTATTTTTATGGCTGATAAACTGTGACAAACGCCTCTTATTTTTTTACAAATTATTTTGTTTGAAAACAATAATACAATTATTATTTAAAAAGTACTGTGAAAGGAATACATATAAGCTACATTGTTTTTATAATTCCCTACATATGAATGTATTGGAAAACTTACTCCCAACCCATAGTGATTTTAGTTTACATTCACCTACCAAGTCTGTGTTTGCGGATGTCATTACTACAAAAGGCGTTAGATAGATAAATGTTTCCCTCGTAACCAGTCCGTAGTACAAATTCTTGTTTATGCCATTCTTGTTTTTTCTGTATCGACTACGAAAAAAAATCAACTTAAAATCCTTAAAAGTACAAATAAAGAAGAAAAAGAATCTAGAAAATGTAGAAGATTCATGTTTAATGCTGTTTTTCTAGAAGACAAGGTATGCCAGGGGTAATTAATGGATTGGAATTTACAAGTGTAAATAAAATTTGAAAAAATAGTATTCGCATTAATCTTTAAAAACAAGTAAATTTCGGTAATTGTTATCGATCACGAATTAAACTTGTTTCAAATCTTCCTTAGGAGTCCTTCCTTGTGCCTCCAAGTAAAAAATTTCAATTATAATTTCAGCATATTTATCTTGTGTGTCTTCCAACTTCAAGTGGGTTATTTACATTTCGCAAATATTTAAGCAGAGAAATTATCCGAACATTTACCACATAAAAACGCATCTAGAACTTAATGGCAGGAGATGAACTTGTAAAAACTAACATGTAAACCAAGAGAAGAGGGTGTAAATGAGGCAAATTAGGGGTTGCAGAACATTATTGGACGGATTTATAAAAACTCAGGCGCCCAACCAACAAAGTAACCAGGTAATGAACTAACTAACTAACTAACTAATTAACTAACTAACTAACTAACTAACTAACTAACTACTAACTAACTACTAACTACTAACTAACTAACTAACTAACTAACTAACTAACTAACTAACTAACTAACTAACTAACTAACTAACTAACTAACTAACTAACTAACTAACTAACTACTAACTAACTAACTAACTAACTAACTAACTACTAACTAACTAACTAACTAACTAACTAACTAACTAACTAACTAACTAACTAACTACTAACTAACTAACTAACTAACTAACTAACTAACTAACTAACTAACTAACTAACTAACTAACTAACTAACTAACTAACTAACTAACTACTAACTAACTAACTAACTAACTAACTAACTAACTAACTAACTACTAACTAACTAACTAACTAACTAACTAACTAACTAACTAACTAACTAACTAACTAACTAACTAACTAACTAACTAACTAACTAACTAACTAACTAACTAACTAACTAACTAACTAACTAACTAACTAACTACTAACTAACTAACTAACTAACTAACTAACTAACTAACTAACTAACTAACTACTAACTAACTAACTAACTAACTAACTAACTAACTAACTAACTAACTAACTAACTAACTAACTAACTAACTAACTAACTAACTAACTAACTAACTAACTAACTAACTAACTAACTAACTAACTACTAACTAACTAACTAACTAACTAACTAACTAACTAACTAACTAACTAACTAACTAACTAACTAACTAACTAACTAACTAACTAACTAACTAACTAACTAACTAACTAACTAACTAACTAACTAACTAACTAACTAACTAACTAACTAACTAACTAACTAACTAACTAACTAACTAACTAACTAACTAACTAACTAACTAACTAACTAACTACTAACTAACTAACTAACTAACTAACTAACTAACTAACTAACTAACTAACTAACTAACTAACTAACTAACTAACTAACTAACTAACTAACTAACTAACTAACTAACTAACTAACTAACTAACTAACTAACTACTAACTAACTAACTAACTAACTAACTAACTAACTAACTAACTAACTAACTAACTAACTAACTAACTAACTAACTAACTAACTAACTAACTAACTAACTAACTAACTAACTAACTAACTAACTAACTAACTAACTAACTACTAACTAACTAACTAACTAACTAACTAACTAACTAACTAACTAACTAACTAACTAACTAACTACTAACTAACTAACTAACTAACTAACTAACTAACTAACTAACTAACTAACTAACTAACTAACTAACTAACTAACTAACTAACTAACTACTAACTACTAACTAACTAACTACTAACTAACTAACTAACTAACTAACTAACTAACTAACTAACTAACTAACTAACTAACTAACTAACTAACTAACTAACTAACTAACTAACTAACTACTAACTAACTAACTAACTAACTAACTAACTACTAACTAACTAACTAACTAACTAACTAACTAACTAACTAACTAACTAACTAACTAACTAACTAACTAACTAACTAACTAACTAACTAACTAACTAACTAACTAACTAACTAACTAACTACTAACTAACTAACTAACTAACTAACTAACTAACTAACTAACTAACTAACTAACTAACTAACTAACTAACTAACTAACTAACTAACTAACTAACTAACTAACTAACTAACTAACTAACTAACTAACTAACTAACTAACTACTAACTAACTAACTAACTAACTAACTAACTAACTAACTAACTAACTAACTAACTAACTAACTAACTAACTAACTAACTAACTAACTAACTAACTAACTACTAACTAACTAACTAACTAACTAACTAACTAACTAACTAACTAACTAACTAACTAACTACTAACTAACTAACTAACTAACTAACTAACTAACTAACTAACTAACTAACTAACTACTAACTAACTAACTAACTAACTAACTAACTAACTAACTAACTAACTAACTAACTAACTAACTAACTAACTAACTAACTAACTAACTAACTAACTAACTAACTAACTAACTAACTAACTAACTAACTACTAACTAACTAACTAACTAACTAACTAACTAACTAACTAACTAACTAACTACTAACTAACTAACTAACTACTACTAACTAACTAACTAACTACTAACTAACTAACTAACTAACTAACTAACTAACTAACTAACTAACTAACTAACTAACTAACTAACTAACTAACTAACTAACTAACTACTAACTAACTAACTAACTAACTAACTAACTAACTAACTAACTAACTAACTAACTAACTAACTAACTAACTAACTAACTAACTAACTAACTAACTAACTAACTAACTAACTAACTAACTAACTAACTAACTAACTAACTAACTAACTACTAACTAACTAACTAACTAACTAACTAACTAACTAACTAACTAACTAACTAACTACTAACTAACTAACTAACTAACTAACTAACTACTAACTAACTAACTAACTAACTAACTAACTAACTAACTAACTAACTAACTAACTAACTAACTAACTAACTAACTAACTAACTAACTAACTAACTAACTAACTAACTAACTAACTAACTAACTAACTAACTAACTAACTAACTAACTAACTAACTAACTAACTAACTAACTAACTAACTAACTAACTAACTAACTAACTAACTAACTAACTAACTAACTAACTAACTAACTAACTAACTAACTAACTAACTAACTAACTAACTAACTAACTACTAACTAACTAACTAACTAACTAACTAACTAACTAACTAACTAACTAACTAACTAACTAACTACTAACTAACTAACTACTAACTAACTAACTAACTAACTAACTAACTAACTAACTAACTAACTAACTAACTAACTAACTAACTAACTAACTAACTAACTAACTAACTAACTAACTAACTAACTAACTAACTAACTAACTAACTAACTAACTAACTAACTAACTACTAACTAACTAACTACTACTAACTAACTAACTAACTAACTAACTAACTAACTACTAACTAACTAACTAACTAACTAACTACTAACTAACTAACTAACTAACTAACTAACTAACTAACTAACTAACTAACTAACTAACTAACTAACTAACTAACTAACTAACTAACTAACTAACTAACTAACTAACTAACTAACTAACTAACTAACTACTAACTAACTACTAACTAACTAACTAACTAACTAACTAACTAACTAACTACTAACTAACTAACTAACTAACTAACTAACTAACTAACTAACTAACTAACTAACTAACTAACTAACTAACTAACTACTAACTAACTAACTAACTACTAACTAACTAACTAACTAACTAACTAACTAACTAACTAACTAACTAACTACTAACTAACTAACTAACTAACTAACTAACTAACTAACTAACTAACTAACTAACTAACTAACTAACTAACTAACTAACTAACTAACTAACTAACTAACTAACTAACTAACTAACTAACTAACTAACTAACTAACTAACTACTAACTAACTAACTAACTAACTAACTAACTAACTAACTACTAACTAACTAACTAACTAACTAACTAACTAACTAACTAACTAACTACTAACTAACTAACTAACTAACTAACTAACTAACTAACTAACTAACTAACTAACTAACTAACTAACTAACTAACTAACTAACTAACTAACTAACTAACTAACTAACTAACTAACTAACTAACTAACTAACTAACTAACTAACTAACTAACTAACTAACTAACTAACTAACTAACTAACTAACTAACTAACTAACTAACTAACTAACTAACTAACTACTAACTAACTAACTAACTACTAACTACTACTAACTAACTAACTAACTAACTAACTAACTAACTAACTAACTAACTAACTAACTAACTAACTACTAACTAACTAACTAACTAACTAACTAACTAACTACTAACTAACTAACTAACTAACTACTACTACTAACTAACTAACTAACTAACTAACTAACTAACTAACTAACTAACTAACTAACTAACTAACTAACTAACTAACTAACTAACTACTAACTAACTAACTACACTAACTAACTAACTACTAACTAACTAACTAACTAACTAACTAACTAACTTAACTAACTAACTACTAACTACTAACTAACTACTACTAACTAACTAACTAACTAACTAACTACTAACTAACTAACTACTAACTAACTAACTAACTACTAACTAACTAACTACTAACTAACTAACAACTAACTATAACTAACTAACTAACGTAACTAACTAACTAACTAATTAACTAACTACTAATAACTACTAACTAACTAACTAACTAACTAACTAACTAACTAACTAACTAACTAACTACTAACTACTCTACTAACTACTAACTAACTAACTAACTAACTAATCTAACTAACTAACTAACTAACTACTAACTAACTAACTAACTAACTAACTAACTAACTAACTACTAACTAACTACTAACTAACTAACTAACTAACTAACTACTAACTAACTACTAACTAACTAACTAACTAACTAACTACTACTACTAACTAACTAACTAACTAACTAACTAACTAACTAACTAACTAACTAACTAACTAATTAACTAACTACTAACTACTAACTAACTACTAACTAACTAACTAACTAACTAACTAACTAACTAACTAACTCTAACTAACTAACTAACTAACTAACTATCTAAGTAACTAACTACTAACTAACTAACTAACTAACTAACTAACTACTAACTAACTACTAACTAACTAACTAACTAACTAACTAACTAACTAACTAACTATCTAACTAACTAACTAACTAACTAACTAACTACCTAACTACTAACTAACTACTAACTTATGTATAAGTTCTACGTCAATAATCCCAATTCACAGGAAAACCCTAACTACTGAGGTCAATCGAAAATTCAGAGAGCGAGAGCAACAGCAAGAAACCCGACCAGACTTACTTGGCCAGACTTAAAACGATTTTAAAGACCAACTTAAGTATTTCCAAGCTCAATAACAACAGTCATTTGTAAACTGTCTTGCCAATCGTAACATCAAAATATTATAACGCTTTTTTAATAAATTCTACAAAACACTTTTTTGTCATTTTCGCAACGGTCATCAGCAGCATCATCAATATGAAATTATATTGGCATTTATTTTTTGCTGCAGTCATCTTGTTAATACAGGAAAATGGTAAGTTTTCTTTGGAATTATTCTTGTTATAATACTAAACACAAAGAAAGATTTATCCTACAATGTACTTCAATTTCTTTCACAGTATGTGTACCCGCCATACGTCCCTTATCTAACCAGCGTCGCATTATATTTCCCGAAGACAATTGGGATGATTGTTTTCTAGACAAAGAATCCACGCAACCGGGCATGTGTAAATCGCTTGAACAGTGTCCCGAAATATTAAGGAAATGGGACAAAGAAAACGTTTACCCCAAAACCTGTTATTTCATTAAAAAAGAACAATTTGTTTGTTGTCCCATTGCAACGGCTAAAGAGGCCACTACTACCACTAAGAAGCCATTTAGTATTTTCCACGATGTATTTAATACTGATCCCGGCTTAGCTACTAAAACTACTACCGCTAAAAGGCCTTCTAATATATTTTTAGATAATTTAACTACCAAACCCACTTCGAAGAGACCCTCAAATATTTTTCTTGATAAAGTGACAGCTACAGATAACACAACTACCAAGAAACCTTCAATTATTATACCCGATATTTTTAATACCGAAAAACCTTTTAATGATAAAAGACGCAGTGAAATAGGTTGGCCAATTCTATTGATTAAATAAATAAAGTGTAAATTTTTATACAAATTTTAATTTTTTTTTTTTTTTTGTTAAAACAGAGTGTGATTTACAAAATCCCGATATTAATGGAGAATCTACTAAATTGAATGAATTTCCTTTTATGGTAAGTTAGGCAAAAAAATTTTAACTAAAATCATCTCATTATTTCTGAAATATCGAAATTCATACGTCATTTTTTAAGAATTTACAATATTTATAAAATCGTTTAAAATCTGTAAAAGGGAATTTTTAATAGATGTGTTATTTAAAGTTAAACCACGAAGAAAACTTTGTATTAAAATGGATATGAAACATAACCATTTCAAACCGACTTCATTAGTCCATAAACCAGTTAAGAGACTATCAATGTATTAACCCCCAGATAAGTCAATAAACTAGAACATAGACTTTTTCATAGAATAGGAAAAGTAGGCAAGTCCATAGAGTATTCAGTAGACTAGTTCATAGAATAATCAATAGACTAAACTATAGAATAGTCAATAGTCTAGTCCATACACCAATCAATATTCTAGTCAGTAGAAAATAATCTAGTTACAGACTAGTCCAAAGAAAAGTCAATAGGCAAGATCATAGAATAGTCAATAGACTAGTCCATAGAATAATCAATACACTAAGCTTTAGAACAGTCAATAGTCTAGTCCACACACCAGTCAATAGACTAGTCCATAAAATAATCAATAGACTAAGCTATAGAATATAATTAAAAAAGTATTCAAAAGTTCTGAAAATCGATTACAAATTTCTGAAAATTTCAACTTATTTTAATAATTTTTATAAAATTTATAAATCAGGCTGCCTTAGGCTTCAAATCTAACGGCGATAATAAAATTTGGTATCCCTGTAGTGGCGTGTTAATTTCCTCGAGATATATTTTAACAGCAGCCCACTGTGCCGAAATAGGAGGGTAATTATTACTAACTGAAATCAGAAATAAAAATTCACTTATCCACTTAAAAAAAATTACAGAGAAAAACCTTCATTTGTGCAATTGGGTAATGCTAATCTAAGAGAAACGGAGGAAGGTTCTATTAAAATTAAGCAAATCATTAAGCACCAAAGCTATGAAGCCAGTAAGGCCATCTATAATGATATAGCTTTAGTGGAATTGGATCAGGAAGTAAAGTAAGTTAAACCAAACATAAGAAAAAAAACAAATCTAATTTTTCTTTTCAACTCTATAGTAATCGTCCAGTTTGTTTATGGTTCTTGCCGGATATACCCATAACAAAACTCACCTCCTTGGGCTATGGACACTCACGTTTAGATGGCTTAGGTCCTAATGAATTAGTAAAATCACCTTTAACTACTATAGAAAATGCTGAATGCCAAGAAATCTATAATCTAGATGATAAATTTGAAAATATGAATATCGGTGATGATCATGTATGTGCTGGTGAAAAGGATCAACTGCAGGAATCTTGCCAAGGTGAGACGGGTGGCTCTTTAATTATGGAACTGGACAAAGTATTTTATGTCGTGGGTATAAGTTCGTATGGCTTGGGTTGTGCCGATCTACCACCCTCGATATATACGAGAGTTTCTTCGTTTATCGATTGGATTGAACAAATTGTTTGGCCAGAAATTGATGTGAGATTTGATAGAAAATAAGTGGAATTTTTAGTTTTATTTTTGTATCCTTATAATATTTAAAAAAAGGAAAATTACTTTTAATAAAAACAATATTTTATATATTTATATGATATAAATATTTAACGAATATACATAAGTGTTTTACTCGGCAGTATTAACATTCAAAATTGAATTCAACAACAATCGGTACTTAAATCCATCATTAAAAGTGTCAATATTACTGTAAGTACTTTTTTCTAAGAAATTGATTCACGAAAACATTATTTGTAGTTCACGATCAATTACAAACTGCATTATATGATTCGCCATTTACAATTTTAAGTAAAAATCTTTAATTCGAAAATGTATCACTTCACTCCATCTAATGATTAGTTTCGGGTGCTGATGCGAATAATCAGGCTGTCTTGTGCTTTAAATCTAACAGCCATAATAAAATTTGGTATCCAGCCGGACGAAATAGGCGGGCAATTATATCTCGTATTATGAATCAAACGTTTTCACCGTTAATAAAGCCTCCTTTTTGGCTAATGAGGCTCTAATCATATTACCAATTCGTATAGAGATGATCGACATTCGAGGATCGAATTAGATATAGTATAAACACTGTTAATAGCTATAAGTGTAGTTCGACTTTAGAGCTTTAGAGAGGAAACCTATACAGCCTGCTTAATGTGACGTTTTAAAGACTGAAGAGCAGAAGATCTGGGGCAGACTAACTGCATACCTTATCGGTTGTAGAACCTTAAATAACGCAACAATTGGGAAGAAAAAGTGACATTCTGTGATCAATCATATTTCCTACATTCATTTTTATACGAAAAACCTTAAATCGGCTGTAGATCTTTAATGAAAATGGATATTTTATACATTATAAGAAATTTTAAATGGTGAAATTCTTTGATCATTCCAAAAATCTGTTGTAGAAGATAGTGAAAATCTGTGATCATTCATATTTGCCACTAGAAATCAACTTATGAAAAGTCTAAAAGTGACTGTAGATCCTTAATTAATGTTTTGGTTGAGAAAATAGTGAAAATCTGTGATCACTCATATTTCTTACCAAAAATCTATTTATATAGCTGAAACGCTCTGGTTGAGAAAATAGTGAAAATCTGCGTAAATGGATCGTAAGTGTATACGTGAATCTGTATTAGAAGATTTTCAAGGAGAATCCCGTTCCATCTCCACAAAACGACGATGCTGGCTCGTACAAACATGCGCTCTGTCGATCAGTTAAAAGTTTGACCCGGCGCAAAACTCGACCTAATCCTTGTATGTGATATATTTCGCAGGCCGAGACAACCGCGGTCGTTCTGGAAGAACCACATGAACGTGTGGCGATTCTGACGTACTTTCAGAATGGAAACACTGACCAACTGGAAGGTAGTGAAGATTTTCGACCGTGATGGTGCAAACAGAAAAACGGTTGTAATCCTTAATAAGACATCGTTCATGTTTTTCCGATAGAAACAAGGTAATCTATACTATAGATTCGATACTATCAATTTGGGTGTCCATCGGGGTGACAACAAATCGGAATTCAATAAAGGAATCGTTTACGTTTTTCCGATAGAAACAAGGTAAGGTATACTATGGATTCGATACTATCAAGTTGGGCGTCCATCGCACATATTCTACCGTTATAGACGGCTTTTGGATTAATGCTAGATCCTCCCCTTGATATCCAAGGCTAAGGTGTAATGCAGCAGCTGAAGCCGCTTTAGAATAATGATGATTCACTTAGGTTTAGGTAAAACGGTAGCCACTCAGTGGCTCACTTGGGTCCGTCAAATTTCGTTAACGTTGTGATGCCCTATTGGTCGTAGGAGTTCTTTTCTATAAAAAAATTACTCACTACTTCGAGAGTTAAACCAACCGGTTTGATTCCTTTATACAAGAGAGAACAACAGATCCAAAATAGAGTTCTCTGTTCCAAGTAAATGTCGGATAATAATAGAGGAGATGAGCTATAGTCTCACTTGGAAATCCTTTACCATGGACGGTGTCTTTTGAATCAGTATTCAAAAACTTCACCTTAACTATCAAATAGATCACCCTACAAGTTTAACCTTGCTTGGATAACCATTCCAACGTCAGGGTTGGTGGATTTAGTCTATAAAAAAAAAAAACAAATAAATAAAACAGCAAGAGTTTTTTGTTTAGTTTTTTTAGGTTTTTAAATTTTTTATAACCCCATATTAAATGTTTTGCATTAAAACAGGGTGATTTTTTGAAAATTTTATTGATTTTTTTGTATGATTTTTTTGTTTGTTTGTTTGTTGTTCTTGTTTGTTAACGTAGTATATATTTTAAATATTTTTTGTGTTGTTTGTTTTTTATATTTAATTCTTTTTCTTTAAATATATATTTATTTTTTATTTTATAGTTCTTTTTAATAATAATTTTGTGTTTTCCAAATAAAAAAAATTCACATTTTACACAAATATTCAAGAGAAAGAAAAAAAATATAATGGAAAATTTTTTAGAAAATAATAAAAATTAAAAAAAAATTGAGTTTGATTTTTCTTTGAAATAACATAAATAAGAAAAATATTACAATATACATTACGTTTTTTTGTTTTTTTTTTTTTTTTTGTATTAAAACTAATTAATAATAATATTATTTATAATAATTATAGTTTAGTATTAATATAATAATTACAAAGATATTTATTTTTTTTTTTTTCTTGTTGATTTGTTGGTTTTGTTTGTGTTTTTTTATTATTATTATTAATCCTTAGCTTTTTTTATTTTCTACAACATTACTTTACGATTTTCGTTTGTTTAAAAATGTAGTTTACTTCTTTTTTATTTTATTTTATTTTTTACTTCTTAATTCTTTTGTTTGCTTTATTTTGACAATGATTTATTATTTAGTTTAGTTTTGTTTATTTTTTTTTTATATTTCACTCATGACTTGAAATAAAATTTTAATAATGATGATGTGATAATGTAGAGATTTTTGTTTAAAGTGTTTTTTTTTTTTTTTTTTGGTCAGTTTTGGTTTTTAAATTTTGAATTGTTGTTTTGTGCGACAATAAACTTTTACTTTTGGCAGACTATTTTATTAAAGGCAAATCTTATTGAATATTCTTTAACACATTTTATTGTTTAATTTAGTTTAGTTTAAAGTTTTTGCTGAATATTTCAATATTTTTTAAAAGTTTTATTTTATCTCTTTTTATAGCATTTAATGTCATTTTTGCCTTAAAAACTTTCCCACATTTAATGCCAAATCTTAATTAAATTTTGAAAAAGTTATTGTCTTTAAAAAAACACAATCCAGAAAGCCTGTAAAACATTATAGAATTAAAAAAAAACATTTTAAAACAAAAATTAAAGCGGCCTTTTAAAAACATCATTATTTATACAACTTCTCTGAAATATTAAAACTTTTTTAAAGATTTTTTTAAAGAAGATTTCATTATAAGCAAGTTATGGCAGTTTTTCTTTTAAAACAAAAGAAACTACATTTTTTTTCTAGGAAAATCCTAAAAATGAATTGCATTTTAGTAAATAATTAATAACAAATGAAGGAATCAAGAGGTTTTTAGGGGATTTTCTTTTTGAAAAACTTGTTACAAGTTTTAAAAATTTATGAAAAATAATAATAAAAAAGCCACAAAAAGTTTAACTTAAACACAACAAAAAAAGGGGTAGGGGCAGAAAACATAAGTTTTTTTTTATATTAGAAAGGAAGAGGGGGAAAGGGGCGGCTTAAAAGCATAAAGTTTTACTTTTTACAAGTCTTTTTTTTAGATTTAAGCATAATTATGTTTTTTTTTAATTTAAAATATATTTTTCTTGCCTTTATAATAATAATAATAACGAAAACTAAGGTTAGTAAGTAGTATTAACTTTTTTTTGTTTGTTTTAAATTAAAATTAAAAATATTAAATAAGTATTTAGTTATATATGTATGTTTGTAGTATATTTAAATATATATTTTAATATTTAGTTATTTATAATTATAAATTAAAGCAAATTTCTTAATAAAATAATAAAGAAAGAAAAAGCAAAACCGTTTCTATAACTTTTCAATTCAATTCATTTCTTTAAATATTTAAACAAATATTTCTTATTGTTTTTTAAATTTCCCTTAATAAAACGGGTTTTGCTTTTAAAAATCTATTATTCTCAAACTAAACATTATTTATTATAACTTTAAAATGGCTTTAAGCTTTAAAAATTTCCCAAAAATTCATTCATTTATTTCTTATAGAGAACAAAAAAAAAAACACAATCTCTTTAGTAAAATTAAAATGTTATAACAGCAAAAAGAGGTTTTTTAAACTATATTGACTTAATTTGTTAAAATGTTTAATTAATTAAAAAAATAAATAAACGTGTTGGGTTATTTTCTTTTTAATTTAAAATGTAAGGCAATTCATTGCAAAAAAAAATTAGAAAAACCTTACTTTTTTAACGTTTATATTTTCTTCTTAATTCTTTTCTTCTTAATTCTTTTTGTAATAAAAATTTTAATTAAATTAATTGTAATTATAATATATTTTTGTTTATAGTATGTTGGTTTAATGTTAAATAGCTATTTTTTTTAATAATTTAACATTTCATTAACTTTTAAAAACGAAAAAAAAAAATAATCATCTTTAAGTGAAAAAAATCCCCTTTTTAAAAACTTGTTATATTATTTAAAGTCGCTTGTAAATTTTAAAAAAGGGTTGTTTAGTAATTTTCTTTAAAAAAAAAAAAACAAAATTTAAAAAAAATGCTTGTTATTAATAGTTCTTACTTAAGTGTTAAAAGGGAGGGAAGTATTTTAGGAGGAGATTTGAAAATATAATTAACAATCAACCACAATTATAAAAGTAAAAACAAATTATAAATTTAATTGTCAAACAAAACTTTTTCTTGTTGTTTGTATAAAAACAACAACAGTTTTTTTTTCAGCTTGGCCAATCAGTAATATGGACAAAATTATAGCTTTATCTTGTAATAATGTACAATAAAGGTTATCAATTAAAAACATTTTTGAGATTATTGAAATGAAAATGTTGTCTTTTTTCCTAGAAAGTGCATTTTATTGCATTTTTGTTCTTAAAAGTGCATAATTGTTGTTTTTTTTTTAATAATTAATAACCTTAATGCTATTGAAAATGTTGCCTTTTTTATAGAAATGAGTATATATGTAAAACTTTTGCCTCAATACTATTTTTCCTCTTAATAGTACAATATTTTTGAATTTTTTTCTTAAAAAGTCTAAAATTTCTGACTTTGTGACAAAAAAGTGCAACATTTTTGCCTCAATACTATTGAAAATATTGCATTTTTTTCTTCGAAAAGTAAAATTTTTTGCGTTATTCCCTTAAAAGTACAATATTTTCGCATTTTTTCTTAAAGAAATGTAAAATCAGATCTTTTTTTTTGTCAGAAAGTGCAACATTTTTGCTCAATACTGCCCTTTTTCTTAGAAAAGTTTTAAAATGTGCTAAATTATTGAAATATTTTTATAAAAAGTACAAAAACTTTTCTCACAATTCTATTGAAAATGTTGCCTTTTTTAGAATAATGCAATTTTTGCAAGTGCGATGTTTTTGCCTTATTTTTAACATTGCTTTTTTTAATTTGAAATCTTTTACTTTATTTCCAAAAAATTGGAAAGCTTGGCTTTTTTACTTAGAAAAGTGCAGTTTTTTGAAGAAGTGCAAAATTGTTAAGGATAAATATTCTGATTTTTTTCCAAAAAATGCAAAATCTTTACCCTGAAAATGTTGCCTTTTATAGAAAAATGCAATTTCAATTTTTTGAATTTTTTTTCTTATAAGTACTTTTTGCTTAAAAAAAGTATAAAATTTTTACTTTTTTCCAAAAAAGGGCAAAATCTTTGCCCTCAAATCTATTGGAAATGTTGCCTTTTTGCACTTAGAAATGTCTAGTTATTGCCATTTTTGCAATTTATGACAATTTTTTACTTTTTTCTAAAAAGGGCAAAATATTAGAAACGTGAAATTATTGCCATTTTTGCAATTTCTGACTATTTACCAAAAAGTGCAAATTCTTTGCCTTAAATTCTGGCCTTTTTTTTAGAAAAATAAATTTTTTGTGTGTTTTTTTAAGTGCAAAATTGTTGTAAATTTTCTTTAAAAATATCAAATTTCTAAATATTTATCCAAAATGTATAAAAATTTGTTTCAATAAGTCAGAAAAAAGTACATTTTTTGCACTTTTTCTGAAAAAAGGCAAATTTTTGTCAGTTTTTTTTTGCTCTTAAAAGTGCACTTTCTACATATTTACATATTTTATCAGTTTTGCATTTTTTTAATTAACTATTTAAAATGCTTAATAAATCTGTAAAAATTTTGCCCTTTTCGAGAAACAATTTCAGAATTATTTTTTATTTAGAGTTAACTTTATCTTTTGCCTTCTTTTTCTTAAATAAGAAAATGTTGCCTTAAAAAGGAGCACAATGCTAACCTTTTCTTAATAAAAATGTTGCATTTCTTTTCAGTTTAACTGGAAACTAATTTCTGTAAACAAAGAAAAATAGTTGCATTTTCCTTAAAAAAAAACTAAAATATGGCATTTTTGGATTAATTCTATACTTTTCATTGTTTGTCTTCAATGAGCAACATGATCATCATTTAAAATTTTTGATCTAAAAGTGGTACTTTTCGCTCAGTTGTGTACTTTTTTTTATTAATAAAATGCAAAATTTTGCCCTTTTTAACTTGATTTCAGAGTACATTTTTAAAAATATTGTAAAAAGTTTGCACTTTTTTTAGTTAAGGGCAATATTTTCAAAATGCAAGATTTTTTAAAATTTCAGTCAATTATTTACGTTTAATAATGTTTCTCAATTGTAAGGTGTTAAAATGTCATCATAAATAAAATAACAAATTTAAACAATTTCTATATAAATTACTTTATAAAATGCTTGAAAAATATGAAAACTTTTTAAAGAACCGATAGAGTCTTTATCAAATAGTTAATAGAGGGAATAGAAAATAATTTTAGCTGAAAATGGAAACAAAAGTTTGAATTTTAAAAGGGAGATAAATAAAATTATTCTATACAATAAAAGATGTAAATTATTTTAAATTTTGAAAAAAATTCCCAATACAAAGTTTTGATAAAATATCAAAAATATTTTGCATGGAAAAGTCCTAAACAATTTTGCGGTGATTTAAACAAAATATGAATTTAAAATATTTTAAATTTTTTGCATAAAAAGTTTAAAAATTTTAAATGTTTTGAAAATTTTAGAACAACTACTTTAAATTTCAAAACTAACTGGCGAAATATTAATAAAAGTGAAAATTTTATAAAACAAACCAAACAAAAGTTATATAATTGTTATAAATTTAAACCTTTAAAAGTTCAACTGCAATATTAATTGTTTTAATTACAAAATAAATGCTATAATTTTATCCATAATTAGTTAATTTAAAATAATTTTCAATAGCTTTTTCTAAAGCTTAGAATATTTATTGTAATTACTAAAGCCAACAACATTGTAATTACTAAAACAAGCAAACATTTGAAAGATATAAAAGTAAATATCCCATACTACAAAGCAAAATATTAAAAAAAATAACAATTAAAATGTAAAAGAGAAAATTTATGAAAATAATTTTGCCGCCTTAAATTTGCTATCAACAACGATTAGGGAAAATGGAAAGGTAAAGGGAGTTTAATTTGTTTATATTTTTGTTAATATTGTAAAGTGCTGAATACAATTTACAAACTACACATGGTTTGATGTTGCTATTGTTGCTATGTTTGTTGGTTTTTAATGTTACTACAACGACAGTAATTACTTAAGATTTACTTCATTTGTTTCTTAACTTAAAGTTAAGTATTATTATTTAGTTATTTTTTGTTTACATTTCTTTTAAGTTTAGTTACTATGTTTAGAGGCCTATATGTAGTATGTTTTATTGTGTATTTCTGTACTTGTTCTGTAGCTATGTATGGGTATGTTAATGTAAGTTATGTTTGTTTGTATGTATATTCATTTAAGTGTTTGCATATTATTATTATTATTTTTTGCTTTAGCTAACAATGACTTCATTTATAGTTTATATTTATTTATTTATTTTTCATTATTATTATTATTCATTTTGTCTACAATTCGTTGTTGTATTTTAAAAAGTGTATGTTTGTGTTTGTTGTGTGTGAAAGTGTGGTTCCTTTAAATTTAAACTGTATGCTTATGATCATGATGATAATACACAATCATGTTAAAGATGCTGCAGCTGTAGCGTAGGTTTAAATTGAAGTAAATGTTGATGATGATGTTGAGTAGGAATAAGGAAAAGGTAGGGGCGGTAAGGAGTGTAGTATACCTTAGTTTTTTTCATTTTTTTGTTTGGTTAATTGGTTTTGTTTAAGTTATAGGTGAAGCTAATAACATATTGCTTATCATACTAAGAGTAGAGTTTTATAGAGAGAGAGAAAGAAAGAAAAATAAAGACTTATAGATTGATTGATGTTTTGTTTTCTGTTTTAAAGGTTTTCTTTCTTCTATCTCAAATAGTTGCTGTTTGCTTTCTGTTTCATTTCATACAATTTCTAAATGCTTTAAGTTTTGTTGGTTGGTATTTTGTTTGTTAAATATTTTTTAATATATAATTTGCTTTGTTTTTGTTTGTTAAAAATAAAAACTAATATACTTTACTTCCATTTATTCGATTTGGTGGCTTTTTTGGTTTTCTTCTTCTCATTATTGTCCTTATAAGAACGATTTGCCGGTCGATCTTATTTTTTGAAACATGAAAATAAATAGAAAAATTTTGGTGTAAAAATCTTTGTAAAGAAACGGTTTAAGTATACATATGTATATTGCAAAAATCTAAAACTTTATAAAAAAATAGAAAACGAATTGTCGCAAGTTCACTGATTCGAACAAAATACTGAAATTCATATTTACATTTTCTAAGAAAACTGAAAAAAAAATTTATAAAAAGAAATCTACACACCTGCTTTCATATTTGAAGCCGATACCGATGAGGAAGAAGCTGAATTTGAAGGACGCGATTCAGATTCCGAACCCGATTTCGACGATGAATCGGATCCATTAGAGGCCACTGATGACTCCGATGAAATGGAAATAATCGATATTGTTGAGGATGCGGATGTTAGAATGCCATGAGTGGTTGACGCTGATGTCGAACCACCACCGCCCAAACTCGATGTACTTGTGGAGGCATTATGTTGGCGCGGTAATGTGGCCGAATGCTGTTGCTGTTGTTGCATACGTTGTTGCCGCACCTGTTGCTGCTGTTGTAAACGCTGTTGATTTGTATAACGGGGTTTTGAGGTGGCAACATAATTTGGATTAGAGGCGGCATATTGTTGATACTGCTGTTGCATTGGAGGTGGTACATAGAATTGTTGACGATAATAATGGGTTTTATTTGAAGATGACTGTTGTTGTTGCTGCTGTTGTTGTTGTTGGATTGCTTGCTGCCTGGGTGGTGAGGGCGATAAAACATTTTTCTTTGTCGTTGATGAGACTGTTTGAAAGTCCGACGACGTTACGGCTGTTGGTGATGGCAATGCTGTGGTAATGGTTGCTGTTGATACCACAGCAGCTGATGTTTCTGCTGTTGTCGTGTATGTACTACAAGACGATGTAACAATTGTTGTAGTTGTTGTTATAATTATTTCATTAAGCGACTGTGTGGATGTGGATTTTGTTGTTGTTGAGGGTGATGTTATTGTTGCTGTTGTTGTTTGTGTGGTTGTTGATGTTGTTATTATTGACGATGACAGTTGTGGCGATGATGTTGATGATGATATAAAACTATTTGTTTGTGTGGGTGTTTGTGGTTGTGTGTATTGTTGTTGTGGTGGTGGTAGTTGTTGTTGTGTGGTTAGAGGCTGCGGGGTTTGTTGCTGCAACGGCAACGATTTCAGCGCATTGATATTGCCAGCATGCATTTGGAACTGTGTTCCGGCTGCTTGCACTTGCATTTGAACCAATTGTTGCTGCTGATGTTGCTGCTGTTGTTGTTGTTGTTGCTGCACCAAACCGGCAACTATTCATCATGTATCCATCCGGGCAGCTGTGTGAATATTCGCGGATGTTGTTTGTGTCATTGGAACACCACCGCCGCCCAACACAATATGTGTGGTAGACCCTGTTGTCGGTGACGTTGAGTCGGCATCACATTCTTTGCTATCCTCCGAATCATCCCCCGAGGAAGTGCTACCACGTCTATGACACATTGAATTCAATGCAGCAACATGATGTTGCTGTTGCTGCTGCTGGTGATGATAGAGGTGTGGTATTATATGAATCTGTTGCTGTTGGCCGGTCAAAGCACCGGCTGGTAGCATTGTGGAAGGCAATATTTGTATCTGCATATACTTGGGGGTGTTCCCCACCACGTTCGGTGTACCGGGGCCACCTAACGCCGAGACGGGTGAATGGCGTGTGACGACAAGATGCTCAAAATGTTCACGTATCCATTCACGATAATCTATAACATCGTCTGTGATACGTATAATGCGTCCTAAAAGAGAGAACATTTTGGGTTATTGACAAAGAATTAAATTTAAGCCGCCTATAACTTACCCAATATCGAACGCTCATTACAATCGTTGGCCCAATCGTTGAGAGGACTCACAGCCTGTGACAGCATTAGATAGGCGTATTCGAAGGCCTGCTTCACTTGTAGGGCGCCGTACGAACTGCGACCGATATCATTGCCGGGCGTAAGTGGATCCTCTATGCACAGCAGTGACGGCCGATGACCATCGATCATATCACGTTGTAAGTCTTCTTTGGGTATGTAACGGCCGCCGTTCTTTATGGAAATGCCAATTTTCATGTAGTTGAACTTGCGGCCATACAATTCGAAAAACTCCAAGAGTAAAACACCCAAATTATCAGTCTCGGCGTGAATTTGACGAGGATGCAGCTGGAGGAAGCTTATGCACATGAGTATCAATGAATAGGAAGAAATGCCACCAGTGAAGACTTCATTGAGATCACGTTGAAGTAAAAACTGTTTTAACACAAGCACCAGTTTTGCAAGCAACGGAAACTCTTGCTTGTATTTCTTAATAAGCTCGGCCGACTGGACACCGGACTGCATGTTGAAGGAGATGTCAACTTTGACCTGAGTCTCGCGATCAGTTAACTTAATAATGGGCACGGAAGCCTTGTCCAGAACACGCACCGAATGAGGTTCAGCTATGCCACGGGCAATCAGTTCAGTTTCTAAAGTTCTCAAGGGCATTTTATCCCAAAGACCTGGAAAAAATAAAAAATTATTTTAAATTTCCACGAAGAAAAACATTTAACTACATTTACCTAATACCACTAGATCAATATCTGAGGTAGGCAGGAATAAACCAGTACGAAAGGAACCAAAAATCTCAACCAAAGCCGAGGGCCATATGGAATGGACAACAGCCTCAATGCGATGTACCACCTCGTTGCGTATGGCATGCTCGGTGGGTGTGGGCAGTACATAATTATAGAATTGCTCAATTTCTTGATGAAGACCTAAAACGCCGCGACAGTAATTGAAATCGGGTACGCGCCAAGGACAGCCCTTGTATTTCGAAATCAATTTGTCCATGTGTTTATTGAAGTTGTATGTACTGGCCTTGTTGTCGACAATGCGGCCAATTTTCCTGCGCGAAGGATTATAATAGCTGGGACGTTCGTGTGAAGGCATTTTACCAGTCAAAGTCGTCGTCGTCGTAGTGTTTGTAGCGTCTCCGCCGCCGCCGCCGCCGCCCCCTCCGCCCTGTGTTGTGTTGTTGGCAGGTGTGTGAGAATCGTTATTTGTATTGGTCGTAGTGGTTGAATCAAGGGAATTATTGCTGGATGTATTGCCGCTGGAATTGTTGCCGTTATTATTGTTATTGCTGCTGTTGTGATTGTTGTTATTGTTGTTGCGTAAGCCACCAAATTGTTGCAATAGCAATTGTATGGAATCACGATCTCTAGCAGTTAAATTAGCACCGTTATTGAATTTATTACCACCACCTTGTAATTGTTGTAGCTGCAATTGTTGATTCTGTTGCTCCAGCAATTGGCTCATTTCATGCGCATTGGTTTCCCAAATTTTACACCATGTGAGTAAAGCTGGACCCTCCTGTTCCTCTTGAAACCAACCAACAAAAGGATCCATTCAAAATGTTTTCTTACAAAAACAAACAAAAACCCCAAAACGAACTGGCAATAAGTGCTGAACTTTTTGCCGTTTGGTTAACAACACTCCTGCTCTTGCTTTTGCTTGCTCCTCGACACTAGCTTCTTATCTTCTTTTTCTCTCTTTCTATGCCTTTTTATATCTTGTGTTTGTAGCTTCTATCAAGGATATTTGTCGTCCACTGGACGTTTGTATTATCGATTTTCAAAATTCTTCAAATAGAATTTTAAACTTTCTATAGTTTTTTTGTTGTTTATTGTAGACCACTTATCTATGGAATGCCAATGATTTATTATGATTATTTACTCTCTTTTATTTGAACTTAATTTCAATGAGAGTTAAAATCCTAAAACAAAAATAAAATAATTGCAAATTATATTTTAGTTACCAAAAATTATAGAAAATTAATACATTACAATTTTCGTTCAATGATCTAAATATAAAAATTGTGAGAGTTTATTAAAGATTGTGTTTTTCCTTGATATGTTCATTCTTAAAAGGATTTTTCATAATTGCAATTTTATTTATCCCAATTAATAAAAAAAATATAGAAGCCCTTTGCTTTTAATCAAATAATTGATGTTTTCGATATAATCATTTTGTATTCCCACATCTGAGTACCTATGTACTCAAATCTTAATAAAAATTTTTATCACGAGACTTTTGATAAGAGCAAATGTAACAAAATAATAAAAATACAGACGTTCATCTGAACATAAATAAAGGTGCACTTGTAACAATAACAAAATATAAATGAATATGTTACAGTGATACATATATTTTAAAAAAGATTAACTACATCATCAACAACAATAACAAGAATATGAAAATATAGCCCAGAGATTATGGGAGTTAATTATGAAGTAAATAAAAATTAATTCACCAAATTTAAAAGCAACAAATATTTGGTGAGTAACAAGTAAGTGTTTGTTTAAGCTTTTTTTGTATTAAATTGTATGAATATAGAGGGGGGAAAAAGACGTGTTAATGGAAAAAACCCGATCCAATTTTATATACAACTATTCCCTCAAATGTATTCTTCTTTATATTTCAACTATTATTAATTATGTATTAAAAAATCAAACAAAAAGCAAAAGAGGTAGTGGTTCAAGAGAAAATAATAGTTCAAATATTTATAAAAATTTAAATTTAAATAAATTTAAGTATTTTGCATAATTTGTGCATTATTTCTTAAACATGATGGTTTTTTTCTTAAAAAAATAAATCTTTAAACACTGAGTTTTAGTTACGAAATGTCTTTTTATTAAACCCTCTAAATAAAAATGTGCTAAATGATTGTTATATTTTGAGAATAATTTAAATAAAATAATAATACAATTTATAACAAGGTTTTATGCTAGACATTAGATTTGTTGAAAAAAAAATTAAATTAAATTCAAAAGATTTATTTAAAAATATGATTTTTTATTTTAGAAATGGGAATGTTTCTAATTAAAAAACGGGTAGAAACAAATTAATTAATACTATTCTTAGACCTGATGATACATGTTTGATTAGGTGCCGTAGAGTCTAAGAAATTAACATAATAATAATTAAGATAAATTTAAAGAACATAAAGTTTTAAATGAAAATTTTCAAGTTCACCTTTTTTTTAAGATTAATAATAAGTCAAATATTGGAATACCTGGCCGATAGTCAAACATAATCTAAGAATACCCCGGTCAAACATTCGCTTTTTAAATTACTACAATGATATGGTTATCTCCTTTGTCGATACCATGTGATATTAATGTACTTCTGAAGTTTTATGTTTTAATCCAGAAACTCTTAGTAAATAAAAGAGCTTATTGATCGCATTCTAAAGGCCATTATATGACCCTTTTATATATCATCTTACTCTTAAACCGTTTTATTCTATTAGTTCTTTTCAGTTATCACAAAGATACCACTGGTATAGATGTACGCAGCCATAAGTTCTATGGCAGTTAAGGATTCTTATTTAGTTTGTTATTAAACATATTCACGAAGAGTAGTCATCTTATCACGATGTGAGGGCTTAAGTGCAATATGCTGACGGAGACAGCTCTGCTCGGGCTAGTTGCCTCCTAGGGGTTATCCTTGTCGGACATGTAATGAGACGAGCACGAAACTAAGAACTACTCCTCCCACCTGGCATATTGGGCGTTCTGTCGATTGATTCTCCTGTTACTGGGCAATCAACAGATATGTCCGATTGAATCCTTCTGGATTCCGGCACTTAAGTGTGCATGTTGATTGTCTGTTTGCTCCCAGTGGGATGGCTTTGTTTTCGTCCTGGCAATAGGCCAAAAATGTCAAAGAAAAATGTCCCTCGAATCCGGTTCGGGGCTGGAAAATCTCCGGAGACCCTTTTCCTATAGGCTGTGGCATCCGGACTAGTCATGTGCTAGCACCAGGCTTGGCCCCTCCGAGAGCTTCTAGAGCAACAAAAACCGCAAGTAGCCGGCCCATGCTGGCTTAAACCGCCCACCAAGCCTTCGGGTGTTGGTAAAGGTCCCAGCGGTGAGGTATATCTGCCTGCCGTGGCTATTACCTCTGCAGCCGCAAGAGCAGCCCTTGCTCATTCAAAAAAGGTCTCCCAAGTGCCCTGTGCGAATGTGGAGTCTTCGACCTAGATGTCGGCTCTTTCAATGTATCTCAAACTACTTCTCCTAGGTACAAAACACCTTTCAGAAGGGCTTTTGTTCATCGGCGTAATGCCAAGCGCATGAAACGAAAGTTTTTCTTTAAGAAATAACTATCGGCCACAGTCAAACTAACAAAAAATTAAAGGTCACCTAGGTATAATAAAATTTATATTTTATCAAAATATTACCAATTAAGTAAATTTAAATAGTTTTCATTTTAATTAAATCAACACATTGTATTTTATTAAAAGTTTCCCAAAGATTTTATTTAAATTGATAAAAATGAAACGGAACTAAAAACCTATTATTGGCAAATGCACACAATTTGGGCGGAAGTAAACTACATCTAATTAATAAATAAACAAACAAGTGCTAATTTTATAAAGAAATGAAAAATAAAAAAACAACTTTACATAATATAAAATTAAACAATTATTACAAGATAATTATGTTCAGTTAGGATTTTTGTATTACAGTTTTAGCAAACTTTGTTCCTTTCGATCTTTTAATACTATTTCGTTCAGAGTATAGATATCACTTCATTGTTCTTATTTAAAGTGGATTTAATGACAATTTTTAACAAAATATAAATTATTAAAATTAAAAAAAAAATATTTAAAGCAAAACTTACTTTTTCTCTCTGTGTATGATTATTATGAATTTCAGACCATAAATGGACAGTATTATTGAACACTTGAGTTTTTGTCAGTAAACTTAATCAGAAAAAAACAATTATGAAAATGTTCCTTTTTAAGGCAGAGTGACAAACCAAATACAAAAAAAAAGTAAAACGAACAAACTTAATATCCTTGAAGTAAATGTCTCGAAATAAAAACTATGAAATTAATCATCCAAATGATCCTTATTTTTTTCTTGTTCTTAGCAATTCAGCTACCAAATTATTTTATAGGTATTTAATGTTTTTGATTTTTTTTTTATAAATTACAAACAATTGCTAGACATTTCTAAAGGCCATTTTATAGATAAAATAAAAAATTGCAACTTGTTTGATGAAATTCTGACTTTCAGATACTTTTTTTGCACAGCCTTTTTGTATGTCTGTCTTTTTTGCTTTTTTTTTATTTGCAACACTTTTATTTAGTATTTTTTCTCAAATATTTTTATTAATATTGTTGTTGTTTTTATATTTCAGTTAATTGCAATTTGAATTAATTTTTTTCTATTTTATTATATTCGAGTTTAGATTCTTTGAAAAAATTCAATTCAGTCAAAAGATGTGTAGTATGTAGTAGGTTTGCTATTTTTTATTCATTTGCTTTTCTCGCTTATTCTTCTTCGTACATTTTTTCTTTCTTTCTTTTTCTCAAATACTATCGAAAAGAAAAAAACTTTACTACTACGCCATGTATAAAGAATTAATAGAAATACGAAAAATATAACACACACCGTCGTCTCACTCACATAAACTTTCAGGCGAAATATTAAAATGATGAAAAAAAGATAGATGTTGAAAAGAAGTGTGTAAAAATGTATTAAGGCAGACCCGACTTTAACGATTATGACGAAGAAAATTCGCAATTTGCTGTATAGAAAATTGCACAAATTTCAGAAATCATTAATGTTTTTGGCAATTTTTTGTGGACTTAATAGAATTGCAAGTCTTTTGATGTTATTTAGCTATTTTGTTTTATTTTTAACACATGGGAAATATTCCCTTTTTTGATTAGAAATTTTGCCTCATTACGAAAAGTTAACTTTTTTTCCTTCTCACTACCGCTCGTGTATTTTTTTGCTTTCCTTTTTAGCTTTGATTTGACATATAAAAATGCAAATGTCAATGTTATAATATAAATGTCAATAATTTACGTTTCTTATTTGACGCTGATTACCCAGTAGTCGTGGTGAATTTACTTTCTTGTATATTCTCAACTTTTCGTTGCTTTTTTCTACTACTGCTTCTTCTTCTCTCCCTTTTTTCACTTTTATCGCACTTTTGCACACTGTCCTTAGGAATTTTTTTTAGTTTGTGTAAAAACTTTTCTTCACAAATTTTCAAGTAAATTTGATGTATTGAAAGTTTCTTATTAACGCCATCTTTTCGTTGTGGACTTATTCAATGATTTTTAATAAATTGTATGATTTTTTGTTTTAATTTCACAGAAAAAACTTAAGAAATTACTCCTGGCAAAACCACGCGAACCAAAGTATAGTAACGAATAGGTTTATTTAAGTAAAGTATTTGGTATTGCTGATAGGGTTGCCAAGATTTTGAAAGAGAAAACTTGAGGGTTGTATATCACATGAGAAAATTGGACTTCTGTGGAAAATTTTATTTAAAATAATTATTTAATTAAAATATTATGGATAAGTATTAAAGAAAGTTAATCAAAAACGTAATTTATATTTGTAAAAATCTATAAAAACTGGCTTTTGTTTAAGTAAATAAAAGTAAATTTTCTTTCGAAAAAAATAACTTTAAATTTTACGTTGGAATAGAAATTGCTTTGTTATTATAGGTTTTCGAAACAGTTTTTGTGTGACAAAGAACTTGTTTATTTTTTTTAAAATGCAAAACAGAGTCAATTTTATATTAAAAAAATATTTTTTATGAATTTATAGTAGTTATGAAATTGAAATCATTTCGACCAGAAATCAGATCAATCCCTTTCCAAAAAAAAAAAAAACAGTTGAAATTTCTTAGAAAGAATAAAAAATATAGCTAGTTTTGTCAAAACCTCAATAGTTTTATGGTGGACTTTTTTAATTTCATTGACTTTATAAAAATAATAGAATTCTGAGTAAGAATATGTAAAAATTCCACTCGTTTAGATTTTTTACAGTAAAAACTACAAACTTATAAATTTTGATTTACAATCTAGTGAAGAAAGTGATATAAGAATACATATTAGCAAAAGAATCCGTGTTAGATATCTTGTTAAGTTAACCGTTTTTACATATGTTTTAATTTTTTTACATATATATAATTTTCAAAAATAATTCTCATAGCAAAAATATTGTAAACAAATTTTACCCCTCAAGTCCTTATAGTATTAATTTCCATACAATATTCATTCACAATAGCATGTATACAAACTGTCAAACACTTCGTAACAAAGAGTTACCATTCACAATCGCACAGTAAACCTTCGTAAAGCGTTTGTTCGGTCGGGCTCGCCTAGAAAATTTGTTTCGGTCAAATAAATCAGAAAATAAGTGGAAAATAGTTAATAAAAATTAACAAAAAGTGCAACAAATCGTAAATAATTTAACGCACAATCGATAAAATATGAAATATAAGCAAAAAGCTAAACAAATTCAACAGAATTTTATGAAGAAAAACTCGGAAAAAATTTTTAGTCTTCTTTTTTTTTTCTTAATGCATGTTTTCGCAGCGGGATGCTTCTAAAGAGGAGAAAATACAAGCTCATTTAAAAACAAATACGTAAGAAAGAGATAGTTCTATATGAAATCGACTGAAATAGTGAATGTGGTTAAAGGAAAAAATGTAACGATGTAAGAAATACACACAAAAAGTTTAAAGTTTTTTTCTATCAAACCAAAAAAAGAGAAATGTTTTAATTGAATAAATAAGAAAGAAGAAAAAAACATCTATAAATTAATTTAGCTTTACATAAAACAAAAGGCTAAAGTGTTTAAAAAGAAAGGCTAAAAAGAATGTGAAAAATTTAGAAAAAAAAGTATTGAAAAGAAAATTTACATCAACAATTTCATTCGCTCTTGTTCTTTGTGATTTATATTCTAATTTTTCTTTTATTATTTTCATCTATACATTGATAATGAGTGAGTGACTGACTGAGAAGTGAGAGTGTGTTTGTGTGTGCGTACGTGAGTTGTACATACGGCTTTGGCATAATTTTGCAAAAAGGTTCAACAAAAAGAAAATACAACAAAATATTTCGTTTTGGAGTACGAGTGGATGTTTGAGAGAGCGTGTGTATGTCGTCTGTTCGAGGAAAGGAAGTCGAAAAAGGAACACGTCCTTTTTCCTTCTGCTCCTGTTTTAATGTGTGTTTTATGTGTATGTTTGTTGAACAAAGTTTTTACTCTTTATTATAATATTTTATTTGCTCTCTATCCCCACGTTTAACTTCCGATTGTAAAAAAGAAGGAATAAAAAACAAAAATAATAAAATATTCATTAATTAAAAGTAAAACGTGTAAAAGAAAATGCTGAAAAATAATAAAAAAAAAACAACTTAAGTGTTGAATTGTTAATAACTAAAAAACAACAAATAAAAAAACATTTAAGTGGAATTATTTTAGCTTGTTCTTGTTTTTCTCTTTCGATTTTTTTGACATCTTCGTTCGTTTTTGCTGTTGTTTAGTTAAGTAGTTGCGGTTAATAAACTTCTTGCAATGTTTTTTTGTTTTCTTTTGCCTCCACACGTTCTGTTGTTTATTTTATTATTTGTATCTTCTCGTTAGTTGTTGTTGTTATTATTTTGTTGTTTTTTATGAGTTTCTTTAATGTGAACTGTGAGATTTTTTTTTTGTTTTTTTCTCTTGATTTTTTGTGGAAAAAATAAAGTCGTAACTGTTACGTTTTTACGATTTTTTTAATTCTATTTCTGATTGGGAAGTATAGCCAACATTTTTAAAAAGAAAGTTATAGTATTTTAAACTAACAAATTAATTTAAAGGGAAAATATTTATAAATGTATTAAATCCTTCTACATTAAAAGTAATGTTTTGCATAACCTTATGAACTTTAATAATAATGATTTATATAATAAATCAATTCTTTCTAAACAGGCCTTCCAATATTCCATAGTGCTGTTATTTGATAAAGACAACTTATACATTAGTATCTTCCATATTTAAATACTTAGAACTTGCCTTTAGAGCAAAGACCTATCGTCAATAATAACAAACTGTTCGCTATTTTGAATCTCCATATGCCTTTGTGGTTTCTAAAATATACCACAAAGTACTAAATTTCTATTTCCATAATAATAAATCCTCAAATATCTTCGATATTTAAATAATACATAATTTTATGGAATTCATAATCTTTCCACTCAATATTGAATTGTTTTATCACGTTTTTAGGAATCCTGACAGTTTACACAAAGATTGAATATGTATTCTTAGGTGTAGGTATTCCCAACAACATATTACAAATCTCAAATCGTCATAATTTACAATAAAAGTTTCTTAAGCATTCCCTTATAATCTTTTCTACAACTTAAAACAAATCTTTTTTCAATGAATCCAATTGGTGGTATTATTAACACATAATATTTTCAATTAAAACTTTACGAAATGCAATGAATCAATATACATACATATTTTCAATAACAAAACAAAAATTTGCATAGAATATTTTTTAGTTTTCGTTAACTCAAAATAAAAAATTTGAAATGGCAACTCTAACACCGGGCTTTTTGATGTTTTTGTATATTTTCTATTATTCCTATTATGATTAGAATAGTATACATCACACACATTCATACACATGACAGAGAGATAGCCGAAAACTAACAAACAAAATATTGATTATTCCCATTGCGAGCACATGTTAGAAAGGGACAACTCGCTAGAGTATGCAACACTGCTAAGTCAATAATAAAAGAGAAATGCAAAAAATCACTACTAAAAAATAAATGGAAGAGACGAAATAAAAGAAGGCAAGAAAAAATATAAAAAATGTTGTATATGAATGTGTAAGAGTGTGTGTTTAACAAAAAGGAAAAGAAGAAAAGAAAAAAATACTCTGAAAAGATGTGAGAAAAATGTTGTAATGGAAAATTATACACATATTTTCAGCAATGAAAGAAAACGTAAAGAAAAAATACAAAATTTACAAGAAAATATCAAGCAAAAATGATTACAATTAAATATAGAATTCAATTAATTAATTAAAATAAGAAAAAAGTGTGTGTGTGCAAATAAAACCTCGTCAGTAGTTGAAAAAATGAAGTGTGTGTAAAAATACGATTGAAAAAAGTTGATATTTTATGAAAATGTATAGAAATTATAAGGAAAGAGTCACAAGGTTCTAGCTGAGCCACGAAAAAGAAAAAAGTATTTTAAGCATTATTTATTTAAAATTAATAATTTATATTGTTTATATTGTCAACAGAATATAAGTTAAGTTGAAAAGTAATGGAAAAAATCAATAGAATTTAATAAAACATTAAAAAAAAGTTGTGTGAGTGTGTGAAAAAAATTGAAAAGTAAAAAAAGTATATAGTGTGAAAGACAACAGTAGCAGCAGCAACAACAATATCATCAAATATTAGCAACAACTACAGCAACAAAAGCACTATAACAATAACAACAGCAACAACAAAAGTAGCAGCAACAACAACGAGGACGAAGACGGAACATCCATCGATTTTTTACCGTATTTTCAAGTGGAGTTTTATACGTGTGTAGCTTAGCGAAAAACTACACAAACAACAAATAAGAATAATAACAAAAACAACAACAAAAACATTGTCTACTTGAGATTGTCTACTTCCTCACTTTCTACCGAACTACTGCACATCCTAGCAGAGTTGAGTAGAGCACAGCTCTTCTCATCATCATCCTCATAATCGTCAGTGTGCTGCACCCGACCCCCTTATCTGTTAGCTGTTGTGTCCTTAGTTAGTTTCCTTTTGAAATTTTTCATCATTCCCATTCATTCGTTTTGATATTTTTCAAATAAACTGGGTCTAAGATCTGTGGCCTAACATGTTGGCCTGTTTCAAAAGCAACAAATTACTTTAAATCTTTCGCGTTTAAGCTCCCGCGATGGACAGCAGTAGCAGCATACAGGATCAGAAACCACCTGGGTCCAATCATTTGCAACAAAGTAACAATGTCTGCCTACCGCCGCAAATGTCCACAAATAACAATGGTGGCCTTGGATTGCCGGGCGGCGGAGGGGGAAACAATTGTGGAATTGGGGGCGTTGGAGGCGGAGGAGCAGGGTCTGGTATGTTAGGACCAACCGGTAGTGGCGATCAACTACATTTACCACCTCCCTCGCCACAATTGGGTCTAAATTCTATGCATAACAGCAATAATGCTGGTAACCTTGGTGGAGGACTGGTGGGAGGTGGTGCCCTAACAACCCCCAACCAATCCAACACATTAGCTGGCTCTGTAGGAGGAAGTGGTGGTATTGTCAGTCTAGTTAATTCCCTTAGTAGTAATCAGTCAATGGCGGCTGGAAATTTTTATACGAACAGCAATAATACGACAATGCAGTCTACGCTACAGCCACCTACAATTGGTCCAAGTAATAGCGATTTTGACTCGGACACCGAACTGTCAATCGTGGCAGCAGCTCAAGCTGCCGCTGCTGCAGCGGCAGCAGCAACAAATGGCTACACTTCCAATTTGAGCAACATCAGTAATAATTCAAATTCCAATAATCTCGCTTCGAATAACAACTCGTCGGCTTCCTTAAATGCGAAACAACAACGTCAACAGAAAAGGAGACGTGAACGGGCGCAACGTCTACAGGCTGAGCGTGATAATCGCAGTGCGACTAACACACCAAACAGTCTCAACAACAGCAGCAACAACACCACTACGAACAATAACAACACAGCGCCGAATATCAATAACCCAAATCCAAATAACAATAACAATTCCCAAAACCCACAGTATAATACCAATAACAGTAACAATAACAACAACAATTTAACGACAGCAACAACAACCATTACCGGCAATCATCTCTATCAAGCCAGTAGTGCCAATAGCATGGGTGAAGATAGCAACAATTCAAGCGGCATTTTTACTACAAGTTCCAGTAGTAGCAGCACAAACAATAATGCTCTACTACCACCTACCGACAGTATTGCATCATTACTTTTAAATCCACCCCACTCGCCCGACTGTCATTCCGGTCTGATGGCAAGTCCCAGCGATAGTGAGGGTGAATCATTAGATGAAGATCTCCTATCGACATCGTCGTCCTCAACACTACTACTGCCGCGAGATAAACCACCGCCACGTCCTCCACCACCGGTACGAAGGAAATTGCCAAGGTCACCGGTGTTGGAGGAAGAAATCATTGATGGTTTTGCTATATTGGAATTTAAAACATATGAAGACTTAGAGGTGAGTAAAGAAACATTAAGAGATTTTTAATTTTGTTAAAATCTTTGTAGTTAAAGGTTGCTAAACTAGGTCAAATGGATCCCAAATATTTTTGGTTTCACCAGTTAGTTATTTTATAAAAATTTGTAAAACGTCGTAGTCATCCATCTGGGTCTGCCTATTTAATGCGCCGTAGGTCCCAAATTGGGTAATTAATTTTTCTTTAAAAATTATCTAATGACCTAAAATGACTGTTAAACAGAAAAACGACACAACAAAGTTTTTAATCAAAATATATTTGGATTATTGTTTCAATATAACACTGAATCATTTTTAACATTATAGGTTTGCGATGGGATAGTCTAAAATAATAAAATTTTCCCCAAATATATGTTAACTAGAAAAATATTAACATTGTCGTATAAAACAATAAAAATTTCTTAAATTTGAGTTAACAATATTTACTTTAGAATCTTTCTTTTTGCAATTTCTGCAATGACCCTTGTAATTATCTGTTATCTTAAGTGTGAAACAACAACGTTTGATTAATTGCAAATTGATTAAATATTATTAGCTTATTATTATCATTAATTTATTTAATTATTTTTAATGAATGATTGTAATCATTACACCAAAACCTCCTACAACTAAACACTAATATTTATGAAATCATTTATTTAGAACTAGAAGCCAAGTACATTTTCAATAATTACTTTAAAAAGAAAGAAATGTAAATGCTGAGTGGCGCTCTCAAGTTTTAACTACAAATATTTAATTTAATTTTATACTTATTTATTTAGTTTATTATCTAATCATAATAAAAAAACGTTTCACTTTGTTTCTTTTCGATTTCGTCATCAACAAATAGTTTGCAATAAAACTGGGGCAAAAGCGTAAAGAGAAACGTTTATCTGCGCTGGAGGAGCTCACATGTACATACAGCATTGAAGAAATCAAAATGCCAAAGATCATTGATACTGGACAGCCACATCCCATACGGAACATTGGTTCTGGTGGAGTCGGCGGTGGTAATATTGGTAATATGTCCAATATTGGGGTGGTTGCTGGACTTGGTTCACTGAATTTGAATCACAATAATAATCATCATCACAAGGATAATAATAGCAGTAGTAACCTCAATGATAACAACAATGGCAGCAGTATGCGTGTTACACCAATTAATGCCACCGCAATGCTCAATAACAACAACAACTCCAACAACAATAACAATATCAACAGCATCAGCATTAATAGTGTTAACAGCAGCAGCAATAACAACATCAACAGTAGTGGTAACAATTTAAGTGTAAACACAGATATTAATATGACATCTTTAACAGATTCTTCGACGCTTACGCTGAAATCAACGTCAGCGACGACAGCATCAACTACAAACTTGAATGCTGTAACGCCGATGGACACCACAATGTCTTCTGGACCCTGGAAAGATACAACGAATGTAGTTCCTGCATTTACCAATCATAATGGTAGTGGCAATACGGTCAGAGGAAGCATTATTGGTGGTATCAGCATGGAGGCTAAAATGAGTGGTGGAGTTGGAGTTGCTGGCTCTGGTCCCGGTGAAAATGGTAATGATAGCAGCAGTATTATGATCATGGATACATGTGATGGTACAGCACCAGCTTCAGCGCCGATGCCAGCAGTGGTATCAACATTGGCGCCTTCTATGGTGACAGCTTCAACGACGGCGTTAACAGCAATAAGCACAGTCACATCAACAACAACTGCTGCGGCCACGCCAACGCAGTCATTGTCAGCAATAACGAATATAAAATCTTCAACGAATTTACAAAATTCGAGTAGAAATTCCTTAGCAATGGATACTTCCAAAGCGCTTAATGTAAGTAATAACACAAAAGAGAAAAGCACAAAATCTTCTTCCTCCACAACGTCGTCATCAACGTCGTCCTCTTCGTTGACGTCCATGGCGTTGACAACAAACTCTACTACAACAGCAGCAAACACATTAACAACAACAATACCAATAACTGCAACAAGCACAACATTAACACCAAAAATACCACCTATGGCGGCGGCGTTAACAGTATCATCCTCAACATCCCACACAACAGCTACAACAACAACTGCTACCAACTCATCAACATTATCCACAAGTGCTATGGATAAATTACCACCAACAGCAGCAGTTGCAACAACACCACCACACACCCAACTACCATCATCCACATACTCAACAGCAACAACATCAACAACAATAGCGACGACATCTTCGTCATCTGCATCCTCACTATCGTCGTCGTCTTCGTCAGCGACAATTAATAGTTCAACTCTGTTAACACATGGCTCAAATAATAATGATGCTTACAAACACAATAGCATACATCCTCATCCTGGTTTAGGGCCACCTTCCTTTAAAACAATGTCTTCAATGGCAGGCAATTGCATACCAGGAGCTTTTAATGTAAGTATTTTCCTGCTTTATTCTTTTTACACTCTCGATAATTATTTATCATGTTGTTGTTCTTTTTTTCCCCCAAAAACAGAAATCAAACGCACATTTAATGGATCAAAAAATGCACAATAATAATAGTAGTAGTAATAATAATGATTTCATAACAAATATGTCAGCCTCATCAGCAGTGCTACCACCACAACAACAATTGCCTCCCACCACCGGAGCTCAGCCCACAGTGATGGCTTTAAATGTTACTAATCAAAAAGATTTACATCATCTACACCATCCGTCTCATCATCCACATCAGCAGCATCATAATGCTATGAATATGAGTGGTGGTATGATTGGTGTTCATTCTAAAATCCATCAACAGCAGTTGCAACAGCAGCATTTACATCATCAACAACAACAGCATCAACATCATCTACAGCAGTTGCAACAACAGCAGCATCATCAACATCTTCAGCAGCAGCAACAATTGCAGCAGCAGCAGCAGCATCATTCTCATCATCACCACCACCATCAGCAACAACTGCAACATCAACAACAACAACAGCAGCAGCAACAACATCATCATAAAGAGATGCTTGCTGCAGGAGGCAACAACAGTAACAGTAATAGTACTAGTAGTAATGATCACAAGGATCGTTTAAGCGATGTAAGCATTATTTTATTAAAATTTCCTAAATTAATGTAGCTTTGATTTTTTATGAATGTTTTGGAAAAAGTAAAATCTTTAAAAATGTTGAGATTATTTTTTATAAATTAGATTTCCCTAATTTGTTTACTTTAATACATTGTTCTAATCTTTCTTAAGCTTCCAGTATTGAGGCCTATTTTTGAAAGAAAGGAGACAAAAAAAATAGAAAGGGAATTAACAAACATTGGATTTAAATTATAGATATCTGATATCGATGAAACACTTCATACACCAAATTGTCGTATCGTTGTAGCGTTATATGTAAAAATTGTTTCAAATAAAAATTTTTGAAACAAAAACAAATCAATAATAAAAAATACAACATACTACGATACAATCATACAACACCGATTTGGTTGTAATATTTAATTTCGAAGAAGTATTCCCATTTTTTCTGAATTGTTAAAGATTTAGTCAAAATTTTTATAAAAATAGTTTCAAGTGCGACCCTCTATTAGAACAGTTTTTTCTTAATAGGTAAAGATTTGAGTCAATTTGTATAAAGAATTAGTTCGAAAATTTTTCCAAAAAGTGTTCATTTCCTATTCATTATAATTATCGCAACAATTCGAGAATATGAACGAACATTTCATTAAGAATATTTAAGAACGAATTTTATTCATTTCAATTTTCCTTTTTCGTACCAAAAATAAAAACTACGTTTTTCACTAAAAATTTATACATCCGCTAAAATTCAAAATATCACTAAAAAATATACATTATCACTAAAAATTTATTTTTCACTAAAATTGAAATTTTCGCAAAAAATTAGAATTTTTAGCAAATTTTAATACAAATTAGTATTTTAAATCAAAAATAAGTTAAACTTAACATTTTCACTAAAAAATAAAATTTTCACTGAAAATTTCAAAACAAAGTTATTCCATTTGTACCTTTGTACCCACCTATTCTACTCTCTTCAACCACTTAATAGATAAATTAAAAATAATCGCTGATATCAACAAAGATTTCTTATAATTATGTTTTTTTTTTTTCAAAATAGAATTTCCTACATTTTATTATCTTGATTAATGTTATTCAAGTTTATTTTTTCCAACACTTATGTTCTATTAATATTATCAGTTTTCACTATTTGAAAACGCTTGAAAGTGAATTTTTTCTTTTTTTTATAGTATTTATCACTAAGTTTTTTTATTCATAAAATTATAAAACTTTTATAATCCATTTTGTTTATTTTGATAATTACTTGATTTGTTTAGCTTAAAATCACTTAAAAGCAATCGAGTTTATTCGTATTAATCTTAATTATAGTTTATTATAAATTAAATAGTTTTAATCTTTATTGTTTCGTTACCATAATCTAATCGTCTTTTTGTTTATTTTACTTTTCAACAGCCAAACAATAGGATTAATAATATTGGAAAAGGATTTAATATCGTAAGTGTTGTGTTAATGTGATAAACTTAATTTAATTATGTTAATTAATTTTTATTATTTTTTTTATTTTAGTGTGATAGCGGCAATGATGAAAATAAGGTAAGTTTGAAAATGTTTCATTATTTTATTATATATTATTAAAAAAACAAAAACGTAAGATCAGAAGTTTTAGGCGTAATAATTAGATAAAATATTATAAAGAAAGTTCTAATTTAAAAAAAAAAATCATCACTTAAGATTACTCATCAAGTCCTGCAGCGAGAACAAAAAATTCAATACAATTTGTTAAGTGTTGAATGTTAAGGTTTCAATGTGATTCTCAAGAGATTTACTAAAAGACGACGAAACTGAATTATTAAAAATCATTTAATTAACTAAAATGATTTAATTTAAATAATGGATATAATAGTAATGTATATCTACTAGATATTATCTAGACATTGTTTTGAGTTTAAATTAAATTCAACCAATATATCAACTATGTGATATATCCATTTCACTTTAGAATACTTTATAGAATAATTTTTTGTTTTCATAGCAACGAGATATATCAACAGTATTTGTTCTGTTTAATTGAAAATATTTTCGCTTGGAAAAACTTTTATTTGTTATACATATTTGATACATATTACTTGTAGTATCAGAGAGAACAAATTTTCAGAAGAAAAATTCTCAAAGTCATAACTAATAGATTAATCTAAGATTTGGGTATTAAAGATTAGATATTTTGCATTTAAAATAATATTTATAAATACTCAAAAATGGTAATTAATAAAGTGTTTACCCAGTTTTTAACTACAATTCCATCTTTAAGTATTGATCATAATGAATTTGTTAAATTGTATCAAAATTTATTTCGTAGCAGAATTTAGTGTTTAACTGATTCTCTTAAACAGAACTAGTGCTTTATCTAAAAATCTTGTACTATGGATTAAACAAAACGCGCTCTAAATATGAAATTGTAATAGAAATATACCTTGAAAAATACCTAGTTCTAGAACACATGATTATACTTTTTTGTTGTTGTAACAGTTCGACTGTGGCCGATAGTTCTTTCCTGGGGAAAAAACTTTTGGTTGATACAGCTGTCGCTGGGTTGACATTCTTTGGCCGAGTATGACTCGGGTCGTTCCAGAGCGAAAATCCAATTGTCGTGGAAACGATTCTACTTTGTCGTTGAGACTAATTCTTTTATTTCTAATTATTTATTACTGGTTCCTCCAAAAAAGTTATTTCATACATAGTATAACTTTCATTGAACTAGTGTTTGTTCTACACTGATTCTGATTCCTTAAGAATTCTCTTGAAGTACTTTGGAATCACAATGTTCCATAGAAAGGGTTCCATAGTTGTTGTTGTTGTAGGCTGCGAGACCTGAAATTACACGTATATATAGTTAAAAATGATTCCCTACTCTTCCTCTTCGCTCTGGTTATCCAAATCAGTTAGATCTAAACCCATCTATCGACTGAGCCGCATCTATCAGCTGAGTCCAAAGGATTCAGGTTCCAGCTGAATTAGATTTGCCCTGCAGTTGGAAAGATATTGAACATTGTGTGGGCCTGTGCCACACGCAGGACACAGATCTTGAATGGTTTAAACGGGTACACAGAGTTGTTATGTTTGCTTTCGTTCTGTACTGGTTCCAAAAAGTTGTTTTTGAACCTAGTATTCATTTCATTCAAGCACCAAAGTTCCTTTCCTTGATAGTACTTTGGATTCACAAAAATGTTCTATAGAACGGGTTCCAGAGTTGTTATATTTGCATTCGTTCTGTATGTAGTTACTTTAGATGAAATTTTAAAATTTTTCTTTAGATTTAAATATTTTTTTTATATTTTTCTTTAAATTTCATATATTGATTTAGATTTAATGAAATTTATAAGTATGTACTAAAGAGGTTTTTAAAATAAAATCATCTATAGGGACTTGATTCAAAAAAATATACAGACTTTAAAAATTGAGGTACAGTTTTGCCCGAAAAGATATCATATTAAAAGAAATTCGCAAAAACAAAACTAGGGACTGTTATACCTATAAGAAGTTGTAATAATTAATGTACGTTTACAATAGAAAGATTAGTTTCAACTTTATACTGATTATATAAAAGAGGGAGCTATGATTTATTATGGATTTTAATACATATAATAATTTTTTTATTAGGTCCTATGCTTCTTACGATGAACAAAGAGCTATAAACATAAACCGATTTAAAAAATGTTAATTGGATTCTTCTGTTGGGACAAAACTAGGAAATAGATTGAGTGATTCGACTGAGAATCGGCCTTATTTTGTGGTGAAAATTTAATTTTCTCAAAATCGGTAAATTTTTGTCCTGTATTTTATGCACTTAGATTTTAAACCAATTGTGTGTTATAAAGGCATAAACGCTCCCTATTATAGGAAATAGATTGGGTGGGTAGACTAAGAATCGGACATATTTAGTGGTAAAAATTTAATTTCCTCAAAATCGGTCCATTTTTGTCCTTAGACTTAGAAAGTCGTATGTACCAATTTCATCAAATAATCTTGAAAATTTCGACCTGTATCTTGGGCAAAAGGTTTATATGTGTACAGACGAACGAATGTATAAACAGATGGATAAAGCTATATCAACTCAGAAACTGATTGTGAGCTGATTAGTATAGTTTGGAGGTGTATATAAAAGAATATTCGGATACATTTGCGATAGCTTTCAGAACAATTAAACAATTCGAGTTTTACTCGAAAACTCATACTTGGAAATATTAAACAGATGCTATTATTCAATCCTTAATAAATAGCAATTACTATTCAATGTTAATATTACAATTATTTAAAAAAAAAAAACTTTAAAAATCAAGATTTGCTCCAATTTAATGCTTCCAAATCGCCACACAACCAAAAAAAGACATCTCAATAATATTTCTCTCAAAACCAACTCTAACCATGTTATTTAAACATCCAAAATAAACATGAATAAATCATTCAAATCTTGTATATTTTGCACTTTCTCCTTTTTCATGCAAAGTCAATCTAAGCTTTCCAAAATATGTTTAAAGAAAAAAAAACTGCAATCAAATCTATTGAAAAACTATCAATCTTATTTGTCCTCTTTTGGTATTTTTTTATGTTTGGCTAAAAATCACACTAACTATAAAATATTTGTGTAAAAAAAAAACTGAAAAAAAAACACAGACACCACACCATAATTATGATGAATGATTACACAGAGCTGCTTACAAAACCCAAAAGAGGCAAATGAAGAAAACCTGTTTAGTTGTTTATTAAAATAAAAAAAAAACTCTTTGAAACTATTAATTTTTGAAATTTATTAACCAAATTAACTGATAATATTCATTAAAATGCGGTTTTTTATTAGTATTACTTTATTATTAACAATGATTATTATTACTAACTGCGGTGTGTGTTGCTGTTGTTGTTGTTCTTTTTTGTCTATCCATCTATTACTATTATTAGTCTTAATATATGATTGGAGTCGAGTCGTTACGAGTCAAACGTTAATAAGTTATTACAAAATTGATTCTATCATTATCACTACATTTCCATCGAACAGTAGGTGGTATTTAAATTAACATAAAATGCCCTCTAGCGATAAAGTAGATTTTTTTTTACTTATTTTATATTTATTTATACGTTTATTTCATTTTTTTTTTTAATTTAATACTATTACTACACTGAATAAATTATTGAACAACTAGCAAAGGGGAGTGTGAAGTGTGTAAAGGCAGGTATTAAAAGGTATTATTTCAAAACTTTTCTTAATTTCCATGCGGAATGGTTAAAATTTTTGCAATTTTTGAGGTGATAGCAGCACTTTTAAAAATGTTTAAAATTTTGTTTTATTTCACTGTTATATTATGAAGAAATGATAAATGAATTAATTATCTTTTAATTATTTATTATACTGTCCATTATATTAGACTTTTAATTGCAAAAAAAATTAATAATTTAATGTTTCTTTTTTTTTAATTTTTCATATTTACAAATACGTGTCGTATAATAACAATTAATTATATTTAATTTGTCCCCCAATCATTTCGTTTCAATTACACAAAACTAAAAAAATCACCTATTAAATAATTAATTCATTTATAAACAATTAATTCTTTTATCAGTTTAAACGTCAAAATGGAATTAATGAATGTTGGAATAAATAATTTGATTTGTTGGTTGATTTTTTGCTTAGCATTACATGTTAGTTTAACAACAACAGCAACAGCTATAAAAACAAATTTACTAGGGGGATTAAATATCTATTTACATTTTAGCCCCCTCATTTTCCCTCTATCTCTGGTAGTGCGGTCTTTATTTGTAGTGCTTTTAACCCTTTTCATGGGTTTGTGGGGTGTTTTATTTTTTATCAGTTTTTTCGATAGATCTATAAATATATACATTGTTATGAAATTTTATTGTTGTTACAATAATTTTTAACCTGAAAATCACGACGAAAGGAAAATATAAATTCGATGGGGTTAGACAATACAACTGATCAAACTTTTAATTATTCTATGAATTAATTTATTGACTAGTCTGTGGATTCTATTGTCAAGTCTGTGGGCTATTCTATAGTAATATCTGTTATCGACTTGGTGAACTAGTCTGTGAATTGATCTATTGCTTCCTAGTCCAATTGACAGAATATGAAACTAAACGTCTATTAATATCAGAGTAACTTTATTTACTCTCATAAGAAAAGTTACTTAACTTTTAAACAATACTGTACATATTCGAAATAACCATCTCAATTTGTCTACTTATCAAGTAATTAAATTTAAAATTTTATTTACCCCCTCTTCTTTTGAATATATCTACATCATAATTACACAAATGGTCTGGTCTGGTAAGGATTAATTAATATAATATTGCATTACAAATGAATTTTTCTCGTTTAGAAAAACACGCTACTTTACTTACTCACTCACTTGAAACGTTGTATTTTTTTCGTTTTTTTTTTTTGTTTTTGTGTTGTCACCTTTTATTATTTATTTGCTGTTGTGCTGCTCACTTTTTTCTTCTCAATTTGTGCTAAAATTCAATTTGTTATAAAAACAACAACAACAATAAGTGAAAAAAAATTATAATAATAACAAACTGAA